AGAGAGCGAGAGAGAGGGAGAGAGAGAGAGAGAGAGAGAGAGAGAGAGGGAGAGAGAGCGAGAAAGAGAGTTAGCGAGTGAGTGAGACTGAAAGAGAGAGGGAGAGAGAGTTAGAGAGAGCGAGATAGAGAGAAAGAGCGAATGAGTGAAAGAAAGAGCACGACAGAGGGGGGGGGAGAGAGAAGGGAGAGAGACCGAAAGAGAGCGAGAATGAGACTGAAAAAGATAGAGAGAGAGAGAGAGAGAGAGAGCGATAGAGAGAGAGAGTGCGAGACAGCGATGATACACTGAATAAAACTTTTTAGATACCTACCGTAATGCGTAAGGCATACTACTCGCTATATGCGAATCAGATGCGTGCATCCCTTGAAATAAAATTTTCTTTTGCGCATTGTCAGTATCCGAAGCCGCAGTAATACTCTCACTGATTACGCCCTAAAACCGGCTATTTACATCGGTACTTGGAGGGTACCTGATAAATTAAAAATATCCAGACGAGGCGTAACAGCTCCATGAATTTGACCCGAATAACAAGCCGACGACACCAAGCTTCCGACTGCAGCTAGCCATCTTATCAGACACGGGGGGCTGTTAACTCGGACGTGCGCTCGAGACTAGAATTCGGTCCCCCACAGGTCCCCCACGCAAGCCCTCGGGGCATAAAAGCATCCGTTGATAGGGGTGTTGTTGTGGCCATGATTGATCTGCAGAAATCAGCGTTGTTCCGCACCAACGGACAGAAAAACAGGTGATTCTCTGTATTAATGGCAAGATTATGCAGGTCGGGGAAATGGAGCCTCATTAAAGCCGCAGGCAACACGCTTCAAACCATACCTTAGCGGTCATTACCAAGAAAATTGATACCTCGCTACTTTTTTAGTTTTTTTTTTCTGACACTCAGGCGATGATAGACTCTATGACTTACGCCAGAAAAATCGAGTGTATTGATTTATGAAGCCAGGACTTTCGAATTTTGACTTTTTATCTATAAATTTTTGACTTCCAACTTAAAGCGCACGTTCAGGGAGGGGCCGTGTACTCGTCCCAACGTGTACACCCTATGGACGTAGGGACCGCGCGCACTGCCTGCCCGTGCCGTGACAGGCAATTTCCCTCCTTGGCGGTCTGGGGCGCCCCTCATCCCCTCGCCAGGTTGTAGCTGTGGCTGACTGGTATCCATCCGCGCCTCCCGAGCGGGGGGGGGGGCGGTTCGACCCCCGGCCGCGGCAAAAATCTTTGCTTTTTTCCAAAAAAACGTCCCTGAACGTGCCTTTAAACAACAACGAAAGTATTGACGTTTCAAGCTTAATAGCGAAGTTATGTCAAAAAATGCAATTTTACAAACGTTTCAGCCACATCGAAAATTCGCTAGCCTTTAGTAAAGCCATCTAGCTAAATCCATTATTAATGGGTTTCGGTTTTAGCGAGATAGTATGTCATGGCTGTTGAACCGAAATTCCCTTTGACCTGCGATCAAATCAAATCAAGCTGCCGCCTCGGCTCTACGTGATGTGTCTTGGTTCTCCCGGCGTGTTCGGCAGGATGGAATCGATTTCGTTATCAGGCTCCTCCGGTTTTTTGATTGGACCCACACAAAACTTCCGCCTTCGCCGGTCCTATCAGCGTTGTTGAAGCCGAGCAATTATTCGTATTTCTGAGCTTAAATGGCCGTCATCAATGCACTGCCGGAAAGCTCTATGTTCGATGCTGATCTCGATGAATTTAGTATCACAGGTTTAGAGCCGCATAAGGATTATTTCATTACGCTACGGTATCTATAAATTTGGTAGTATTTCGTAAAAAAATTAGAACTACGCACAAGAACACCTTCCGGTCCTACGCCCGGTTCCGGTCTGATGAAAATGGCGAAATTATTGTGGCAAATTCAATGGCGGTTCATGGGCATTATTCCGGTGAACAACCTGATTTTATTTCTTTTACCTTTAAACCCTTTAGGCTACGATAAAATGGGATTATTCTCAAGTTTATACCAAGAAGGCACTGCACGGTTTGCCACAAAAATGTCATTAAATCCATTGCCGGAAAAATTAGAGTACAAGATTCAAGTCCACGAGGCGAATGTGTACGCTCCCGGAAAGGTAGTTTTTGGGATCTAATAATGACCATTTAATGGTTACAAATTAATCTCTAATCTAATGAATTCTATCTTTTCTGAATTTAGGTCATCACGGAAAAGTCAATATTCCGTATTTTACTCTCACCAAATGTCGAGAGGATTGTAGTGGACTCGGCGATTGATGGCGTTATTTTTAAACCAAAAGGTAAGGGCGCGTAGTAATGTCGTAAATTTCAGCGACTTTTAGGAAATGGCCCTTTCCCAGCAATAATCGACATTTACGGTATGCTGGGTGCATTTGAGCAAAGAGCAGCTTTACTAGCTGAAAAGGTAGGCCGGTCGATTCTTCAGAAAATCTGTATTTTTAGGGCTTTGCCGTCCTTGCTCTTACTGTATTTGGGGGGAAACGGACGCCAAAGACGTGGCAACAAAATGAGAGCACATATTTTTTGGTAAGTGTTACTCGTCATTACGAGATTCATATGCCCTTGGGACGTATCCATGGTTTGAATATGGTTTAATTTTAACATTCTTAGTTTCCCTATTTTTCCTTTTTTTGCTTTCTTTTATCCAGTTAACTTAGAAAGCAATCGACTGGATACTAGCCCAACCCTACGCTAGCAAGACGGTCGGAGTGATCGGAATTTCGGCCGGAGGAGGAGCTTGCTGCTACATGGCGTCAAAGCATCCAAAGGTAAGTATTGAGCTTTTGCTATGCAATGAGGTATTTCCTTGTGAGGAGTATAAAATATACGCTTTAATGGATGCCTTACGAAAAATGGATTTCAGGGAGTTATCTAATTTTATTATCATTCAGTATTATTTCCAGGTCTCGGCTGCCATCCTGCTGAACTCTCGCGGCTACCCGACGGTGCATTCTGTTTTTAAGGAGAATGGGAAGCTTTTGCCACTCGCGGAGTAAGTATTGTTACATTTTTGAAAGCCTTTATTGGGTGTATATTTTTTTGGTTATCAAATTCCACTGAACAAGTAATTTTACCGTCTTTTTTAGCATCCCGCTGCGCCGTTTAATAGACACCGACTGTCGGCAGGGTGCCATGAACTACGCGAAAACCGACGATGGCTTGGATGTTCGGGATGAGATTTTTTACAAGATAGAGGATTCCAATGCCATATTTTTGCTTGTGGTAGGTTATAAAGACGAAAGGCAAAAAAGTTTTTTCCAGGCTGGCGGGCAGGACGGGTCGCAAAATTCGGCTTTGAATGCTAAATTAATTATGGAAAGGATGTCTAGGTAGTTTTTAGCATGCCATGTGATTTTTCTAGGATTATTTAAGGTTATACATACCTCAAAACAAATTTTTAGACTCGGAAAAGCCGAGAATTTTGAAATGCTTGTGCTTCCCAATACTGGCCATAACATTGAACCTCCCTATGTTCCGGTCCAGGATATTGGATACGCCAAGAATTTAGGTAATTTTTGATAATATTCAACGTTAATCGAATTTTGAAGACTTAATAATGGACTTCGGCGGACATACCTATCTGCAAAATGTGGATCAACGAAAGTTATGGCCCAAGATGAATGAATTTTTGAAGAATAATGTGCCCGTGGAGAAGGCCAAGCTGTAGCATTTTAATGTTTTGCAGCTTTTGCTAAATTTTTATTTATCGTTTCACGTGAATACCGTAGAAAAAAAGCCCTTTCAGCGGCCATCCGCTATAATTTAAACTGGTGGTAAAAAAGCCCTAAAAATAGTTTTACACGTCTGAAAATCCATTTTTTTCGTGTGTAATCTCATCGTAATTTGGAGTTTGATTTATTAAAAAAACAATTCAGCCAAGCCTGGGGCCATTAATGGCGAATTGATTGTTAAGGTATAGGGTGCTGGCGGCGCCGACAATTGCCGCGAATACGCCGAGTATCACGGCTACGAGTAAGATCGTCAGTACGGTTATGGCAACGAGACCGGTCTGAAACGTTAATTTGGGCTTTTCGAGGCTGAACAAGGTCTGAAAATTAGAGATTAAGTTAAAATACGGATTTAAAGCGAGTTAGTGCGATGCGTCTTTTTCACAGGTTTCTTTCAAAATGTCGAAAATCATAACGTCGAAATGCACAATGTGAATTGATAATTTTGATGTCGAAATTGACATAGGCTAATTTTACCGGAAAACGGCCTCAAATTTGGTGCAAAAAATTGCGAAATAAAGATTTTCGACATTTTGAAGGTAAATCCTTTTTCACCACCCCTGTTTCCGCGTTTGCAAAGAAAAATCACTATTTCCAATCGGTTGAAATAAAAAGCTTGTGTACGATATTAATTTCTATGCTATATTATTAGTGCGTCCATCCAAACCACAGAATGACATTAAAAAGCTTTATTCAATCCATCAAATGCATCATTTTGAGGCGGGTTATTTTGTACACGTTGAGCTGACGAGCCACAAAACACAACGAAAAATCAAGGCTCTATTTTTTTTCTATCCATCCGGGTAAAAGTGGTGGTAGGCGGAGAGGCGCTGCGACGCGATAATGATCGACACGACGACAGCGAAAATTGTGCAGCCGAACAACACGACAAAAATCAGCAGCAGCGGCATCCAGCCCTGCAAACAAAGGATCTACGGGGGTTACTGTAGCAAAAATAGGGCAGTAAAATAATTTATCTAGCTTACATCAACTACAGTATTTATGTATTACCCCATTTGGGTCCTTGCAGCGGTTTTTTGGAGGATTTTTAGGCTGAAAATGGGTTACGGTACCTATGTGGGTCATAATTTAGATTTAAAGGGACTAGCAAGGCATGAATCTGCATTTTCTGGCCCTGGATTGCGTGTCGCCGGCAGGGCAAAATTTATAAAGAATGCATAGCCAACGAATCAATAAACAAGCCTTGCTGGGTCCTTTAAAATAGACATTAAACCCAAATCTGTGACAATAAGCCTAGTAAATTGCAATTTATAGATTTTTAACCAGTAAGATATCATTCTAACAATTAGACAGCTTTTCCTAGTCACCCAACCAAATGAAAAACCTCCAGCTTCACCTGTCGATACCAGCGGCTGGTTCCCTTATTGCTGCCGAGGATGAATTCACTCGAGTTGTTCGGCGAAAAACCGTCCGGTATCCGCTCGACGATCAGCTGCACCGGTTCCGGGCTCTGCGACCAGGGCACGTTGGAGTGTACGCTCATTGTTGTCTAGAAAAAATGGGGAAGGTCACGTTGTAAACACGACAAATACAATATGCAAAATTAAGTTTCTCCACAGAAATACAGTAAAGGCCCGCAAAAAACTATACCACACCTTCGTAAAAATTCCGGAAAAACCCATTTTATGAGGCACTAGCTATTTACGAGCAACGTCCACCTAGCCAACAGCAGTTTTTGTTACCTAAGGCTCCAAAACACCACAAGCTATACTTAGTCAATATGAAAATTGGAATGCAGTGGTTGCAGAAAATACAGTAACCCGCCTTATTGGCATATGTAAAATGCCAGGAGCTAATTGGCGAATTCGGAAATTCAGGCACTTTCCGCGGGGTAGTGGTATAGCGTCAGCCTGTTATTATAAGAGGCAATTTTACGTTGTACTACCTCTAAATTTTGCTGGATGCAAAATTGGAAGTGGGTAGTTATAGGGGGCAAAAATAGAAGAATTATGACTGGTTATAGCGTAACTAAAAGCGAAAGCATGGCGAGGCTGAGTCGAGATTTTCCGTTTGTAAAGACGGGGGGCTGCATGTGATTATGAAAAAGATTATTGAAATTTAAGAGCCTCAGTGCAGGAAAGGGCTCGCATTTCTAAACCAAGGAACACGTTTTGAGGAGGTCTAAATTATTGAGAGGGGAAAATAGCGGAAGAAAGGGGAATGCCGCTCTTTTCTCCCTTTTCGCTCAACCCTTAAAAACACGGGAACGCTACACGAACGCGAATTTGATCTAAGAAAGGTACAACGAATCAGTCACCGTCTAGCATATACCACACAAAAGTTTTTGGCATTTACGCGGCGTTAAAACAATTTAGTACAATAAATCAATATGCGGAAATCCCGCCAGATAAGCCAAAAAGCCAGAATGAAATCGCCAAAACCCAGGCCCGTTTGCTAGTAAACGATGTTTATCGAGTCTCGGCAGGATGCGCCCGAAATTCAAGGCCGAAACAGGTTGGAGGTGCATGCGCGAGAATTCGACAACAAACACACGTCAGGCGCCCCTTCCCGCCTCACCTGGTTAGCCCCGGCCGGCATTTTTGCCTTTTTGGCACTCGGCCAGCGAATTGTCCACTCACGGTCTGGTCTTTTCCGCTTTTCAAGCGATTTTGGGTTTTTCACTAGTGCTTGCCAATATCCGATGAGTCGATACGAGTGCGTTTTTTTTGAGGAATATGGTTAGTGATGGGTGGTAGGATTCGAGGGAGTCAAAGTGCGTTCGGGAAAACGAGATGAAGTTACTAAGACATCAAATAACTGTAGACAATAGGTTTGAATTTGGCTTAAAGGGACTGAGAAGCAAGAGAATCGACTCCTATGGTGGAATGGGGCTCGAAAAATACTCAAAGCAGCGAAAGTACGCGGTACGCCTAACTCCGTTTTAACAGTAATTCTGAAGCTCCTACGAGATGACTGAATAAAATAAAAATCGGCTTTTGAAAAGTGTTATTTGCAACGTCGCGTAGTTGTCGAAACCTAGCCGATCGAAGGTATCGTTTTTCGTGATTCCTGGGGCCTTTAATGCTTCTGTAGCAGATCGGACAATTTGGCAGTTTTCCGCGATTATGCTAATTTGATTATTTTCTTATCTGAAAAGTTCTGATAAACAAAAATAATAAATTCGATGGGTTCTAAAAGCGACTCCGAACCGTTTTTTATGAAAATGAATGAATGACAAAAATCAAAAAAATTTTACGCGACACGGTCCCTTGTTATAAAATCATTCAAATTATCAATATCAAAATTATATTAAAAATACGTCAAAAGCTTGATGCGACAATAATAATAATCCCCTTTGTTTACCCACACCCCCATCGTATGATGCAAATCCCCGCGGTACGACCACCAAACATTACTCGTTTATCAAAATCACCCCCACGACTGGGGGCACAAAAAAAATTCAAATTGGTGGGTAGAGAGAGATCGGCTGGAGATCGACAATAAATAGAGAAAATATAACGGGAGAATCCCGATTAGGCGGCGATTTATTTAATAGGCGGCGTAGTCTCTTCGAATTCTTCTACAGTAGTGAATTGCCCAGGGATCGTTTGAGTTTGAGGCGTCGCGTGGAGCTCACATCTGCTCCATTTCCCAAGTGGCTTCGGGCTGCAAAAAACAAAGGTGAGTTTTGGAGGGTCGATAGGTATCTTACTGGCTGAGTCTTGGCTTGACTGACAAGGAGTGCTTTTTTTTTGAGTCAACTGCAAAACCCTACGAGACCTAGCTCATTCGATAGAGAATTTGATTCTAAACAAAACTCCGTTGTTCTTTTTTGCAGAATGGCTATCCCTGAATTTATAAAATTGTAAAACTGCACCCAAAAGCCTCTGTTTTGGCTCGAAAGGCACTCATGGTAAGGGACGGTCACTAGTATTTTAATTTTATAAAATCAGGGATAGCCATTCTGCAAAAAAAACAACGGGGTTTTGTTCAGAATCGAATTCTCTATCGAACGAGCTAGGTATCTTAAGGTTTTGTTGATGACTCAAAAAAAGCAACTCCTTGTGAGCCTTAAAAGGTTTTAAAATCTCACATCGGATCGCTTTCCAAAGCTCATACGGTAGGCGTTCGCGTCTAGACCCCGCTTGCCGAAGGACATTCTGAAAAAGGGATTTTGGTAAGTTAGGGTACGTGAAAGAACGAGAAAGAGAAAGGAGAGGAAGAGAAAGAGAGAGAACGAGGGAGAGAGAATAACCGAGGGAGAGAGGGAGAGAGCGAGAGAGAGCGAGACAGGAAGAGAAAGAGAAAACTAGAGAGAGAGCGAAAGCAAGAGAGGGAGAGAGCAAGAGAGAGAGCGCGCGAGATAGAGAGAGAGAGATCAAGAACGAGAGAGAAAGGGAGCGGAAGCTTGGAAGCCTTACCTGTAAGCCTTCGGGTCAAAAGAGCGCTTTCCAAAGCCCATTCGGAAGCCATTAGGGTCAACTCGCTTCTCTTCCTGTAAAAAAATTGAATTTACTAAATTTTTAAAGGCCCGGTGAAGTCTAATTTTAGAAGCTATTTGGCTGTTTCTAGCTATTTCAGTCTTTTCGTCATTTTTGATTTTTTTCGTTTTTCCTCGAGCGTTTTTGACTTCAAACCCTGATGTTCTGCGATCTTTCAGGCGCGAACCAGGGAAATTCAATCTCAAAACCCTGCCCGATTGCGGAAGTGCGTTCGGCTTGAATTGGCGTTGAAATTCAATTTTAAAAGTCAAATGGACTTTGCAAAAGCGTGAAACACTGATTTTTGGTCGACAAAATTTCTTTTTTCACGTTGAACTTAGACAATCACGTGCTAACGAACTTTGGACCTAGTGCCTTGAGCCCAATTCGAAGCTGATGGGAACTTGCAGCGTTTACTAAGGAATTTTCTCACCACTCAAGTACTTCCCCCCTTAAAAACCCTGCTAATTAACTCAATTCACCTTTTAAAATCTTGTAGTGCTCAGAGTTGCCTTGAAGTTTTTTTTTTAATTTCAGTATTTCCCACCCAAACTACAAATTTGACTGCCGCAGAACATTGTGCAGTGGTTTCGGGCACCCTTGAGCCTACCCAAAAAATCATTGTCTCGCGTGGATTAATGATGTGATTTGGGAGGGGATTATGCTATGTAAAAAATTGACGTTTTGTCGTGGGATAAAAAGTTCGCGGGTATTGTGTGGCTTCATGTATCGCTATGGTAATATAGCATGTACAAGGGGATTGAAGGGCAAGATTATTAATATTTTTCACCATAAACTGAATTTAATGAACGTTTTTTACATTCTTAAATCTCGAGCTATCAGAAATCGTACTGTAATTGTTATCGGATCGAGATAAGTTTTCCAAAAATTTCGAAAAAATACACCCAACGCCTCCGCACGCGCTTGCAGAGTACGCTTCTGATGCTACCCTGTATAAATGGCCGCTATTCATTCAAAGAACCAAAATAATACTTTTTAAAGCCCTTAACTTTTTATACTTTTAAAGGGATGGTGTCACCGAGCATCGCCCCACTTTGGAAATTCACCCACCATATAATATGCGCTGACGACGAGGAGTGAGCAGAGGAAGGCGACGATCGTGGAGAGCCTCATGATCATTAAATACTGAAAAGCAACGTTAAAATTTTCACAAAATAACATTCAAAAGTGTGGCATCGGAAGACAATTTGAACGGGAAATTTAAAACACAATTTTCGCAAAAAATAAAAAAATATGGCAGAAATAATGGGGGCAATTTCCAGAAGAGCCGGGGTCAAAAGGGGAACGTTTGAGGCCTAGCGGGTGGGATCATTAAAGTCCAAAATGGCGCCATGAGATGAAGAGAATATCGAAAAAGCTCTGCCGAATTTTTAAAGATGGAGTTGTGGTTGGTGTCTATGAAAAGCTACTGAACTCTGACCATGCTTGATAGAGCACAACAATGCAATTTTCGTAGTACGTAATTTTGGTAATTAGAAGGCTTGCCGTATCCGGAAGGATTACAAATTTTAAGAATTCTGGCAAAAGGGCGCAGCAGGTTACGGTAACCGGAAATTTCCTAGGTTTTCATATGTTTTTGAGAACTTTTTGACAAGCTTGCCAGCTATTTTCCACGCTTCAAAAAATCCAGCAGCGTTCAAAAAACCACTCAGAACAGAAAATACTCATCTCTCCGCTTCTAATCGCTTGTTAGGCCCGATAACGAAAATCTCTGCGTTCTGGCGATCGTCAATTGTCCGGAATTCAAAGGAGCCCCAGGGCCCTAACCCCCAGCCGGTACCAAAAACAAATTAAGCGGCTGGGGGGGGGAGCAAATTTTTCCGCGCCGACGGGCAAAGTTTTTATGCGGAACGTGGGCCGGTTCAGGCGGAAGTGATTGTAAGGCTAGCTAGACAAAGAAAAATTAGTTCCGGATCTGGCGTCTGGACCTTTGGGATTCCAAAGAACGCGGATAAGCCTAAGCCTTAGCAGAAGTCTAAGCCTAAGCAGAAGGTCCAAGTTAAGCAGAAACAGAGTCCGGGCCAAAACCAACCGATAATCCAAGGGCAATTCTGAGCCGGAGCCTAGGACCTAGGCCACAGCTGAAGCAAGCTTAGGTCTAAGCCTAAGTCCAGACCTAAGCCTAGGCTTAAGCTTAAGCCTAAGCCCAGACCCGCTCTTGCGCCTCACTCTTAATGCCCAACCCCGGAACTAATATAGAATTCACCGCGTCTAGCACGCCACTAATTTCCCAAGCTGTCAAATGAGCAGGATCATATTTTAGCCGGGTCCCGCAATTTTGTCCACATGGACCTCGAAATTGGCGGGCAAATTGAGATTAGACCCCAAAATTGCCGGTCGCATTACGTGGGCCGACTGGGTTTTTTTTGGGAAGCCCGAAACAGGGGTGAAATGTCAACATTTTGGGCAATTCTGAAGATGATTTGAAAGGTCGGGGGGATTATGCAAGAACAATTGAACCCAGAAATTATGGTCTAGGTTTAGAAGCCTGTGCGCAAGAAGCTCACGCGATTTTGCAATTTCGGATAGCTCTAAACGAGCCGCGGACCACGAGCTATGTCTCGGTAAAAGTCCAAGCTAAGCCTAAAC